AAACTAGCCTCCTGGCCCCCTTAAATATATTAAAACCTTACCTTTATTCCAGTCTGCTGGTGCTGGCTCTGCACCTGATCTGCCTCCTTGGCTGATATCATCAGAAGTAGTGATGTCGCGAACCCGAAATTTTCGGTTCGCGAACGGCGAACGCGAACTTCCGCAAATGTTCGCGAACCGGCGAACCGCCCGAAACGCCATTGACTTCAATGGGGAGGCGAATTTTAAAACACACAGGGACTCTTTCTGGCCACAATAGGGATGGAAAAGTTGTTTCAAGGGGACTAACACCTGGACTGTGGCATGCCGGAGGGGGATCCATGGCAAAACTCCCATGGAAAATTACACAGTTGATACAGAGTCTGGTTTTAATCCATAAAGGGCAGAAATCACCTAACATTCCTAAATCACAATCAATATGGATTGACACCTGACATATGACATATTGACACCTTGACATATGGATTGACACCTGTCCTCAGAGCCCCTGATACACACTGACACAGAGCAGAATAGGGACTGTTCCCCCTACATAGGGTCACTTGGCAGATATGGATTGACACCTGTCCTAAGGTTCCCTGGTACACACTGACACAGAGCAGAATAGGGACTGGTCCCCCTACATCGGGTCACTTGGCAGATATGGATTGACACCTTGTTACAAACTGCTATTTGTAACGGCCCTTTAAATGGCAAATTGCCCTGCTTCCCTGGGTTGTGGAGAAGCCTATTTGCCAGCCTCCTCCCGCATGACTATGGCCCCTGGGAGATTGTGAAAATGTATGCACTTTTATTTGGTGTGTATGGCCCTTTAAGACTGTCGGTGGGCATATTGGGGCTTATGGACTCTTTATGTGACTGGTGCTGGCCCTTTAAACACCTTTTTTGGGACATCAGGAAGATTGGGACACTGCCCCTTTAAGGCCGTGTCCCCAGACTTGTTGGGGACACGGCCCCTTTAAGACGGTGTCCCCTGTGTCCCCAGACCTGGTGCAAACCCTTTGTGCCTGCCTTGCTATTTCCCACTTGGTTCAGTAAATGGGAAATTATTTCAGCTGCAGAGACTAAGTCCCATTCGGCGATGGGACTTAGTCGTTTTTTCAGCCTGAAATAGACCGACCTCACAACCCAAATCTATGGAACTGTTTTGGGCAGGAAAATGTGCTTGCGGTCGGTCATAAAGGGACCTCCAGCTAACTTTTTAACCCCTGGATGGATTTGGCTGATTTTTTGGTTATGTTTATGTTTTAAGTGTGCTGATTCCAAATATGTAATTATGAAGATGGGATGTGTAGTTTTAAAGTTACAGGGTATGGCTAAAAACTGTATTTTTGCTGCCTGTGTTTAATTATGTTAATCTCTTCCCAAACGTCATTTCGTTCAAAGTGGAGAGAATGTTAAAAAATATATTTTTGTTCGGAGTGTGAGAAATGCTTTTCAGCCGCTTCTAATCTTAAGCATCATTTGAGGAGCCATACAGGAGAGAAACCTTATTTGTGGTGTGTTTAGTATTGTTCTGATCAGTTTAATACCTTCCGCGTCTCCTATCAGTGGACGTGTATATGGCAGCCATTTTAGGAACCGTACACCTGGGACCCGAACAAGGTCACCTCGTTCAACAGGCGACAACATTTGTCCATGGAAAACTATCCTGGACATTCTGTACAATTTGTATGGATATGGCAGTGATTTCTGTAACAGGGAGATGGAAGAAGAGGCTTGGTCGGTCCTCTTAATTCAAATTTGGGGCACTGCGCGGTGAAGCTAATGTGCCACCAGATAGGAGTGAGGGTGGTGTTTAGTATTATTTTTTCCTGATCAGTTTAATACCTTCCAGCGTCTCTATCAGTGGACATGTATACAGCAGCGGCCATTTTAGGAACCATACACCTGGGACCCGAGCAAGGTCACCTCGTTCAACAGGCTTGCAGCGTATCCTCCAGGAAGAAGAGCCTGAACCCTTACCGGCTGCACGTGTCTTACCTGTACATGGAAGCTGCTGTGGTTCCTTGATGAGCCAGCTGCCCGTGAGTTAACATGTCCCGTGGAGAAGCACTCTGTCCTGTAAAGCCTCACCAAAAAAAAGGAGTGGTGTGTTTAGTATTGTTCTGATCAGTTTAATGCCTTCCGCGTCTCCTATCAGTGGTCGTGTACACGGCATTGATTTTTGTAACAGGGAGATGGAAGAAGAGGCTTGGTCGGTCCTCTTACTGCAAATTTGGGGCACTGCGCGGTCAAGCTAATGTGACACCAGATAGAGATTGGTGTGTTTAGTACTATTTTTATCAGTTTAATACGCTTCAGCGTCTCCTACATCGGTGGTGGGTGTACCACGCGGCATTGATTTTTTATGGGGATGGAAGAAGAGGCAATTAGGTCCCTCTTG